GAAGAACGAGGATCCCCCGGGATCGGGATGGAAGAACGAGGGTTTCCCGGGATCAGGATGGAAGAACGAGGGTTTCCCGGGATCCTCGGATCCCCGGAAGGACGGGGCTGCCCCGGTCCCGAAGCGGAGCCCGGCGGAGCCTCTGGAGCTCCCCGAGCCCAGCAGGTAACGGCAGCTCCCGGGAACTGCCCCGGCATCCAGGAGATTCCCGGGCCCGGGATCCCAGCCCAGGTGTGCCCAGCTGTGCCCGGGGATGGCCCAGCTGTGCCAGGGGATGTCCCTGTCCCAGGTGTCTCAGGTGATGTCCCTGTCCCAGGGGATGTCCCTGTCCCAGGTGTCCCAGGGGATGTCCCTGTCCCAGGTGTCCCAGGGGATGTCCCTGTCCCAGGTGTCCCAGGGGCTGTCCCTGTCCCAGGTGTCCTCCAGGTGTCCCAGGTGATGTCCCTGTCCCAGGTGATGTCCCTGTCCCAGGGGATGTCCCTGTCCCAGGTGTCCTCCAGGTGTCCCAAGGGCTGTCCCTGTCCCAGATGTCCTCCAGGTGTCCCAGGTGATGTCCCTGTCCCAGGGGATGTCCCTGTCCCAGGGGATGTCCCTGCCCCAGGTGTCCTCCAGGTGTCCCAGGGGATGTCCCTGCCCCAGGTGTCCCAGGGGCTGTCCCTGTCCCAGGTGTGCCCAGCTGTGCCAGGGGATGTCCCTGTCCCAGGGGCTGTCCCTGTCCCAGGTGTCCTCCAGGTGTCCCAGGTGTGCCCAGGTGTCCCAGGGGCTGTCCCTGTCCCAGGTGTCCTCCAGGTGTCCCCAGGAATGTCCCTATCCTGGAATTCCCTCACCTGAGCTCCTCCCCCCTCCCGGCCGAGGTTCTCCTGGCTCAGCTCACCTGGGACACAGGTGCCACCTGGGAGGGCTCAGTGTCACCTGGGAGGGCTCAGGTGTCACCTGGGAGGGCTCAGTGTCACCTGGGAGGACTCAGTGTCACCTGGGAGGGCACAGGTGTCACCTGGGAGGGGTCAGTGTCACCTGGGAGGGCTCAGTGTCACCTGGGACTCAGGTGTCACACCTGGGAGGGCACAGGTGACAGGTGGCACGGGTGACACAGGTGATAAGAGGTGGCACAGGTGACACAATACAGGTGATATGGCACAGGTGACACAGGGGAGATGGCACAGGTGGCACAGGTGACAGAGATTACCCAGGTGGCACAGGTGACAGAGGGGGCACAGGTGGCAGAGGTGACATGGCACAGGTGACTCAGGTGGCAAAAATGGCACAGGTGACACAGGTGACGTGGTACTGTGGCACAGGTGGCACAGGTAGCACAGGTGACATGGCACAGGTGACTCAGGTGACACAGGTGACATGACACAGATGTCACAGGTGACAAGGCACAGGTGACACAAGTGGCACAGGTCAGGTGGCTCAGGTGACACAGGTGACTCAGGTGGCAAAAATGGCACAGGTGACTCAGGTGGCACAGGTGACGCAGGTGACTCAGGTGGCACAGGTAGCACAGGTGAGGCGACACCGAGGCGCAGGTGACTCAGGTGGCACAGGTGACTCAGGTGACACAGGTGACATGGCACAGGTGGCTCAGGTGACTCAGGTAGCACAGGTGGCTCAGGTGAGG